TGTACATGAGTTACGTGGCTGTTCTCCTGTCAGTCCTTATCCTCACTACCTACAATGTCAAGCCTCTATTTGCAGGATGTCTTCATAATTCAGAGTGATTCTCATATTAATGAGGAACACTTGGTCTTGTAAATGTCTTTGCCTTGTTTTAGAAGGTTGTTTTTATTGATTATTTTTTGTTTTTATTAAAGAAGAATGGATCAGGGAATTTGAAGGAATGAGTAGGGCACTGTTCTTCACCTCTTGTTTCTGAGATCTGTTTAAGAAAAATTCGCACGGGGGTAAATCTTTGAGTTCCAGACCAGTCATTAAGTCATTATTATTTAACCTCTCCTTACTATTTTTGTGATTATCTTATTAATTGAATTACTTGCAGATGTTTGCTTGTTTTCCTGTTCATCTTCTCAAATCCCATGCTTACCTATCATCTTCTGGTAATGGGTTTCACGTGCTTTTGGATTTTCAGAATCCAGATTAAAATGGAAGAGTTGAACTCCATTATGAGAAAAGAAGCTTGGCTTGTTTAAACCACATGGAATTCCCCGCCCCCCCCCCGTAACATTTGACAACATTTAGGAGGCTGAGGAGTTAACAATATGCCTCAAGTCTGTCTAAATTGATATTTTTTTTAAACTGAGGCTGATTTCAGTGTGGCTTGGTGATTGTTCAGCCATGGCACAGCCTGCTGCCGTACCAGACACTACTAAGGGCTGCCATGAGAGCTGGCAGTATGCTTTACTCAGCAGCACTATGCCAGGGCTGAATTGAGCTGGCTGCCAATCCCAAGAGGCTGCAGCTCTTCCCTTGTGCTTTCCAAGTGCTTCTTAGATTTTTGCTCTAGAATCACTGGCACTTACTTCAGCCAGACGGTGAAGGTTATATACCAGCTGCAGTGCTCTGAATGTGGTGCCTCCGTATTGTGTTTGATTTCCTGTCCTTGTTTAATAAGGTCTGCTAGAAATTGGTAAGTGGAGGTGAACAAAAAGCATAAAATGCACATTTATTACCAAAGCGATGGTGGTAGTTGGTCAACTGTGAGTCATTTTTTCCCTCCTATTATCTTCCTTTTATAGGTTTCACTTGTTCATGCTCTTTAGTGTATGAACATGTTGATACCCCACAAACGCTGCCTTAGAGCTTTTTGTCAATAGTAGCTAGCAGAGATTTTTTCCCATAGCTTATCAAACCTAAAAGTAGTGCTATGAAAGTATTGGAGAAGTATTACTTAGATCAGAGCTTTGTTACAATTATTGAATATTACTTGAGCAAAGCATACAAATAAAGATATCTCGTATTATCATCTGCTGATACATGCTGGGCATTGTATAGAATGTCCATTACACCTAGTAACACTGAGGAACAGGCTTTCTTTTCTCCATCTACTGCCTTTTCGAATAGGTGGCTTGTGAAGAAAACAAAAATATATGTTGGCAACTTGAATGCAATGAAAAAAATTTTATTTCATTTTGGTGTGGGTAGTTTTTTGTTGTTGTTGTTGTTTTTTTGTGGTGTGTGTGTGTGTATTGGGTTTATTTGGGCTGGTTGATTTATTTGTTGGCCATGTTCCCAAGCATGGAATGGCTTTGGCTGAAGCAAATTAGAAAACAAGAACTAAAGGACAATGTTCTAGTTTGTAACCAGCCCTTACCTTCAATATTAGATCTAGCCAGCAGCTTAATGCTTATTTCACTCACAACTTAGTTTTACAGCAAATTTTTATTTTTTTTTCTGCAAGATATATGAATGTACTTCAGAAAATACATTTGATAAAGAGATTATCCATAAATTTTATCTGTGTTTTGCATACTTACAGCTATTCAAAACTTTGCCAGTTCTCCCTGATACCTTCAGAATCTACTGGAGATTGTCAAGACGTGTTACAAAGTTCCTGATAGAATGGTTAATTTCAACTAATAATATCCTTCCACAGCATGATTTGCAAAGAGAGTAGTGCCATGCCTGTCCATTCAACACTCAAGTGGCTGTGGCGTTTGCTAGTGAACTGCCATTCAGGTTTCCTGAGGGCAGAGCTTGAATTGCCCGTGGACCATGAGCTCTAAAGTCTAGGTTTTGCATTGGGCAGAGGAAGCCTGGGCCTCGCACATTGGAGGTGAGAAAAATAAAGCAGTCAAAGCCAGCTCTGATCCTGTTATGAATCCTCACTGTTATGAATGGTGTTTGAGGTTTAGCTCTTAATTTTGCTGTGGGTTAAAGGTATTCAAATGGAACACAAGCTTTCTTTCTGCTTCAGAGTGAGTCAGAGCCTTCTCTCCCCTCACCTCAGGGAAATAAAGCAATATATGCTGCACTTTTAGCTGGATTTGATCTCTATCTTTGTTTTATAAAAATTGTCTAATTGGCTACACCAAAATACCCTGCTAAGGGGTCCTGCCTGAAGCCTTCTCCTTTGCTTGCAAGAGAGGTGTAACCTAAGCAGAGGGCAGGAGGAGTCTGGAAATGGGAAATCATTAAGCAAATTGTGATAACTCTAATTACTAAAGTACCATTATTGTTCATGTCTCGGTGTGAAATCCTATTGAGCAATGTGAAAAAATAAGAAAAACAATAAGCCAGAAAGTTATTGCTGGCTGAAAATACACAGAATGCTGTAAAAGTCACTGTGGTAAATTGTTCCAGATATTACTTAGCACCGATTTCTTTTTTATTACTGGACTCAGAAAATGACATGTGTTTTGTTGTACTGTCAATGCAATATTCTTCCAGCTGTGTTTAGCTGCTAACATAGCATTCTAAACCCCAGACAAGGGCTCGTCTGGACTCTGAACCATTAAAGAGATTATTTTCTACAGGGAAACTGTCTTCTCTCTGGGGAGGTCAGGGGCTGAACCACAATCTGGACAGAACTTTCAATATCCCAGACACAACTGCCTTTCCCATCAGGTGTGGTTTATTTCTTGATGCCCATTTTATTTGCAAATGATTTTTTGTGTGAGAACAAGAGACTTTATCACCAATAATTTACTGCTGCTTTTCAGTATTTCGATCAGCATCCCATCCATCGGGTAGCAATTTTGTGTGAAGAGGTGCAATTTAGGGCATTCAAAAATTTCTGCTTGCTATAACATACGGAGAGATTTATAAATGTAACTTTTTTAGTGGGTGCTTGCAGAAGCTGCACAAACCAGTTGGTGCTTATGAATGTTTTTTGGGACGTTTCTTCTGAAAAACCCTGTTCTGGATCGCTTCTAATTACAGAAAGAAGCTTAATTCTCTGTGGTATGTATTTATTGCTTGTTAGGAGAAAAATCTTTGTCCTTCAAGTGCTAGAGGAGGGCATGCCTATGGAATTCTGGAATTATTTTCATCACAAGAACAGAGAATTTTGCTTGAAATCATATACAATATAAAAGCCAAACTGAATTTCCTGACTCATGGTTCACTGTTCTAATTATTAACTGCTTTTCTCATGCATATAAATGAAATAGAGACGGCTTAGAAAAGTACTGGGTTGGAAGGAAAGAAAAAACATTTGGAGTTTCTGTGAAATGTAGTATTTTTAACATGTTTCGTTAGCTGAAAGTAATCCGTTTTGATTATAAAGCAGCTCTGCAGAGATAGATGTTGAGAACACTCTGTTGCCTGCATTTTGAAGCATAGAGTCCTTATTAAAGCCAAAGAGAAACTGCCATTCATTGCAGCAGCCTCTGGATGAGTCCTATATTTGCCAACTTGTAAAAATGCTGTCAATATGGAATTTAAGTTTTGACTGAAGAAATTTCATTTTGACAACTCGATTGGCAAAGTCTTTAATACAACTGTCTATGCACTTGCTAATTTACAAAATGTGTTCCCCAAACTCAACAATTTGATCATTTGTTACTTATTTATGAAAATCCTAACTTTTTGTATACAACTGTAGTCTGAATAGTGAGAAGGTGTTTTCAAGGCTGTAATTCCCAGTATTTTTCCCTGTATCTAACTTGAATGTTTTGCAAGCATTATACCCAAAGCTGGGAGCATGCCAGAAACACAAAAAGCAATTTTGTCTGAATATTCCTAAATTGTTTTGTTAGTAAGTTCTTAGAATACCCTTAAAGCACAAGAAGAGAGTTCAAATTGAGGAGCTGTTTGTTTTCTGATGCCAGAAGATAAATAGTGTTCTGTAGGTTTTTCCCCTTGCCTTCAAATATTATTGGTATTATGTTTGTTTTTTTTTCAAGGGACCTCTTGTTCCTTAATGAAATGATTTTGTAAACAGAAGTAAAATAGATTGAAATGCTCTTGTAACTCTCCAGTCTGAGGGGAGAGAGAATAGCTTCAGGTACACAGTGGCTCTGAATTCAGCAAGGAGAAAAATCATCAAAACAGGAATAAAAAAAACTATGAGTAACTGTATGTCCATTTCCCCTGGTATTTTTACAACATGTACTTATTTAATCTGTGCTATCCATTAATAATTAATTGTCCCATTACATCGCTGCTATAGTTCTATGTTTGGAATCCGTTGTGCCTAATCACTTTCTGATTCTGCTAGTTCCTGGTGAGATTCTCCCTGAGCTGAGTTCATCCATTTATAACACTTTCCATCACTGTCTTCTGTGTAATTATTCTGACAATGAAGCTGCTGCAGATTGTAGAAGCCTACCCTGGAGGCAAAAACTTGCATAGGAACACCATCTTCCAAAAATATTGACTGCCTCTGAATCTTTAAAGTTTTTTTTTGCTTTGTTTTGTTTGTTGTTTTTGATTTAACAGACAGACTTGATTAATGAAATAAGTCAGTGTCTCTGCAGTTTCTGCAGATACGCGTTTGCTCTGGGATCTCAGTGTAACAGCTAATCACCTGTAGCTTCATCAAGATCATGTTTTGTGAATACTTCTAATATTAAAAAAAAAAAAAAAAAAAAAAAAAAGACTTTTCCACTCTAGGGTTGTTGGTTGGTTTGGATTTGTTCCAGAATGGTTACTTTGTTGTCCACTGATCACTTTGTCACTCCCTCTGGCTCTATTTATTTATTTTACACAGGAGAGAAGGTGTTTGCCAGTTGTCCTCTAGACTTAATGAAGAATGTTGATGCTGTCCAAGCCAAGAACTGGTGTTCTTCAGTTGACATGTAGTTCATTTGCGGAGCTTGCTCAGGTCACGTACTTTGTCAGCACCAATAAAGATGATTCACAGCACTTGCAGCTATTTAAACAAGCAGAGCCGTCCTCCCTCCCAAAGGTTCACACTAGGTAAGAATCTGTTCTATGCCTTTATCTTCACTTTAATGTCTCATGGCATAAGTCTTATCTTGTAAATTCCTTGAGCACTGTTGAATGTCTTCTATTATCTAAGACCAAATCACCACCTAATTATTTCACCTCTGAATTGCAATTCATGAATTTTTGGAGCCCTGTAGAAATTTTTCTTAACTCTGAGATTTTGTGTGTGGATAGACACCAGACTGCTGATAAAATGTCCCCAGAGTGCACTTGCACCCCATACAGATGGATTTATGCCCTGTGCCCACCACAGGTGGCCAGGTCCATCACAGGGGCTTTCTCCCAGCAGATGGCCATGCCTCCAGTGCACCACCCCACGAATCACTCCTTTGGCAGCTCTGCCACAACCCTCAGCACCTTCCCTTCATGTTTTGACCAGGCCGGAGCTGGCTCATACTCTGGGTGGGATTGGCAACTGGAAGAAGAACCTCCTGTGCTGGGCATGTCAGCCTGCCCTTGGGCTGGATGACTCTAGAGCAGTGGGCCAGGGCTGCTTGGCAGTCACACAGTGTGCTGCAAGTCAAAGGGCTATTTTGGACTTCACTTGAATGTGTTTCCAGGGATAATATTCCCACTGTCATGGCTTGTTGCAGAAGTTTATCTTAAAGGCTTGTGTGGCAGCCTACAGATATGGAAAATTAAGTGAAACAAGCCAGTTTTTAGGTTCTTTTTTCTTAAAATATCTAGCTCTGCGAATTTAGACTTGTGTTAGGCCTGACTGACAGTGACAGTCCTGAGCATCCCATGCGAAAAGCACACTTCTCCAAGGCCGCTCAGCAGCATTCATATCTTGTGCTTGCAGGCACTGGGCTTTGTAATCCCACAGAATCATGGAAGCTCAAAAAGACAACTAAGATCATCAGATCCAAGCATCAGGTATAGGCCGAAGAGGAAGAGAAAGGCAGACAATGTGAAACAGCCTTTTCTCTCTCTGTCTGTTCCCAAGTCCTGCATCATTCCTGGTTCTGCAAGATGTGATGAAAGTACTCATCATAATAAAAAAGCCGCATCATCTATCAGATGCTGAGGGAAACAACAAACGAAAAAATTCACCAACTGGAAACAGCCCGTCTGCCACATCAGCACCAACACGTGGTAAATGCCTGCTCATCCCTCATTTGCTGGTTTATGGATGACAAGTGATGTGTCAGCCCCTTGAGCTGAGGCAGCATTTCATGCAAACTGTAAGGTCTCAGGTATAGCATTAAGTGCGCAAGATTTCATCAGCAAGACCTGCCCTATTTCCCTAAGGCCACCCACTGCACCAGGCTTGCTAATCCAGCTGGTCTGACAGCTGTGTGCCTGATGCTGATTTCTGTTTCCTTAGGCCTTTTCTAAGCTTCACAAATGTCCTGTATAGCCCAGACAGGGATCTAATCTCTTTCCTAATTTTCAGGCTTTCTTCAGCATTAGTGTTAGAAAAATCACATTCTGGGGTAATGAAAATCCATCTTTCTGAGATCTGCTCCCATCTGCTCTGAGGGAAAATAAGTTCATGCAAGACTAAATTTGGAACTGACATATGTATGATAAGTCAGGATAAAATGATTTGCAAAATGATACCCCACTTCAGACTCAGGATTTGATACCTTTTGCTGTTCTGGGTGTGGAGTTCTCTTGGGCTGCTGCCAAGTCCTTTTTTCCAGCAACCACATGCTGGATGCAGGTATGTCAACTAATGCTGCTAAAGCATCTTATTTAAAACTGACCTAGCAGGCTATTAAGTCCCCTGGTATTTTGGCACCTACAGCTGGTTACTGATGTCTCTAATACTTCCAGTAGCAGCTGGCACCTACAGGAACAGAGACACAAATCTAGCTTGGAATTTAAGACCTTCCCCACTATGAGTAAAAAACATGTTTGTGGGAGCTTTAACAGTATGACATTGTATATTCATGTCATATGTAGCTCTTGTGTATCCTGTAAATTAATTGATTTAAGGCATTATTAATAGACATACACAAAAATGCCTTTGCCACCTTGCAATACTTCACTAAAAAGGATGAACTAAAAATATTCAATTATAAAGATAACAATCAATTCTGTTTCAGGTGTGCTCTCTCTCATTCGAGTATGAAACTCCTAATTTGCAGAAAGCAGCAATTTCCCTAGTAATCTTTATGTAGGACCTAAATGCTTTCTTAAGCTTTCTATAAATTCTATAGCAGGAATATATATGTTCAGATGAAAATAAGAAATTAAATTCTTGGAAAAAAATCCATAGACTTTTAGCTATAATTTCTTTGGCATTAATTTCTGTTGAATTCTGCAGCCATGCACAGACCTGAGGGCATGGGCAGCAGAATTCCTGAGAAGTGCCTTTGTGCTGGGCTACGAGGCTCCTTTCCACTGCTTCTGTGTTTGGCATCACCAGTCGATTCCCCGAGCTGCATCGCTTGTGTGTGGCATTCCTTCTGTAATGCAACAAACTGATGTTTACAGCTCTGCTTTGAAAACTGATAGCTTTTCCTGAGAATAATGGTATGTTGTCGTTTTCCCCCTCAAATGATGCTGCCTGCAACAAGATCAGAAGTTATCGATCCTAGAGTAAATGAGGTCAGCTCTCCAGGACTTCAATTTCCCTATACAAGGCAGTGGGAGCTATGCAAGAGGTCTGAACACTGGAGGGCCCCAGCGAGAAGAGAGTTGCAGAGGTGCTCTGTTGCTTGTGGAGTGGTCAGGTAACCTCGCTGGAATTAACCTTCCTTAAAAACATTACTTCTGGCTGTAGATTACAATTGGTTTTCAGAAGCATATGTATCTGAAAGGAATGATTATAGTTTCAGCTAAACGAACTGAATTCTGGATTTAGAGCAAATACAGCTGAGCTTTCAGCTAGAGTGAGAGTGTTTTGGTGCCAGAAGAAAAACACTTGTTTTCCTTCAGCAAAACTGGCTGCGCACACACAGCTGCCAACTTCTGCTGGCTGAATTCACATGCTTCTTACAAATGCAGATAGAATTCAGTCAGTGATTACAATAGACTTTCTTTGTGTTCATATGACTGTTTCACATTTCTCTGCGTCTAGCTCAACTTATTCCTAACAATCTCTTCACAGATTAAGAAACAAGTTTTGTGTCTCACAGGGACACACTTAAATAAAAATAGTGTGGTACTTTTAAATGCTTAAAGGGTACAAAACTCACAACTTTTTGTCTACTGCTGAAACCTGACAGCATCAGCAAAGAATGATTCTGAAATAGGATTAAAGCAGCCTGAGAAATGTTGTTCTTAGTCATTGTTCCCTAAGGCTGATGCACACTCAGCTTTCAAAAAAACTTGTTCTTAAATGGGCAGCAGTTTCCTTTTACTTGGGATAAATCTTCATCCAAATCCACATCGTATTTAAGCAGGAGGTGTTTATATTCCCAAAAGAAAAGGGGTTTCTCCAGGTCATGCTCAGTTAGCACTGCATTAGCAGCACAGCTCAGGAAGCTGCTCCATGTGCATCTCTGCTTTACTGACGTCTCTTTACCTAGGACCAAAGAATGTCCAAGATGGTGAGTGACTATTAGGCTATACAATGACTTCTAATGACCTGCATTTCCCCTCTGGACAGTTACCACTGAACTTTACTTTTTTTCTCCAGGGCTGGGACTGTCAGAAGCTCAGTGCATATTTTGTCTCTGGCCAGTGCAACAGAGGGAAGGGGAAGAACAGTCATGGAGAAAAGGAAACAAAGCCAGGCAAGAAAGCATGAGGGAATATTAGCATAATGTGAGCAGTGCTAGTGGTTGTCACCAGCAGATTCTGCTGGCAGTAATTGGTTCAGTTACTTTCCCCTGACCATATCACTGTAGCCCCTGCCCAGAATGAATCCAAGCCATGATAGACGAGAAAGATGTATGCATGTATCTCTCTGACATTTGTTGGATTTTCTATTTTAAATGCTCTAAACACTACAGAGATTTCCAAAATTAGGATACAAGTGGTTAACTAGCACTGATAGCACTGATGATATGCTTTTAATCTTCAAATCTCATGGACCTATCTTAGTTATTTTAGAAAAATTTTTGTTATTTTCCTTTTTCAGGTATGTTTCAGATCATATTACGTAAGCTGAATTCCACTGAAAACCTGGACGCATTCCTGTAGCTCACAATCGTTTTTTAAACTCAAGATAAATTAGTTGGGAAAAGAAGGAAAATGATTTACTGGCCAAAGAAAATAATTAACATTCTCTGGATTGAGAAAACTTCCTTTCATGGTAAGCTCTACCTTGCCCTGTTTTATTTTGGAGAGTACAACAAGCAAGTACATTGTGTGCATAGTAGGAAAGCGATGCCAATGTCTCTGTATTTTTTTATGGTGGCTTTCTGCTGTAAACCAGATTTATCTCAGGAGATTATTTTATTTCTCCATAGGAAGCATATATGGAGAGTTAGTAGCACGATGTCCTGAATCTGTAATAGCCAGCACTGTAATACTTTAAGTTTTCTAACCAGCTTCAAACTTCCTTATTCCTGTGTCAGATCTAAGTGTTGGTGTGCCAGGAGTGTTGCTGTCATTCCTTTTTACTCATTTGCCTTTTGTCTACCACTAATTTCTTATTTATTATTTCTTATTACAAAATATTGCAAAAATCAACATGTTATCTTTTCAACATGATAAATTAATTCCAGAGCAGCATTATACCAGATAAGGATTTGGGCCTCTGAAATAAAATTACCTCATACAACCTTCTTGTTCTAGAATCATTTGAGTTAAAAGGGGCCCTTTAAAGATCATCTAGTCTAACTCCCCTGCAATGAACAGGGACACCTGCAGCTCAATCACGTTGCTCAGAGCCCTATCCAGCCTGACCTTGAATGTCTCTTTTTGACCCCTCTCTTCTCCAGGTGAACAGCCCCAGCTCTCTAAGCCTGTCCTCATAGGGAGGTATTCCATCTCTTGGATCATTTTTGTGGCCTTCCTCTGGATGTGCTCCAGAAGGTCCATGTCTCTCCTGTACTCACCCTGCTGGCTACACTTTTTTTGTTGCAGCCAAGGATACAGTTGGCTTTCTGGGCTGTGAGGGCACATTGCTGGCTCATGTCCAGCTCACTATCCGCCAGTACCCCAAGGACCTTTTCAACAGGATTGTGCTCTATCCTTATATCCTTCTGCTTGTACTGATAATGGAGATTGCAATGACCCAGGTGGAAGACCTCGCACTTAGATTTGTTGAACCATGTGAGGTTCACCTGGATCCACTGCTCAGCCTGCTTAGGTCTCTCTGAATGGCGTCCTGTCCCTTGGGTGTCAACTGTACCACACAGCTTGGTGTCATCTACAAACTTGCTGAAGGAGCACTCTATCCCACTGTCCGTGTTATTGATGAAGATGTTAAAGAGTACCAGTCTCAGTACCAATCCCTGAGCACTCATCACTGATCTCCATCTGGACATTGAGCCATTGACCATCACTCTCTGGGTGCAATCTTGCAACCAGTTTCTCATTCATTGAACAGTCCATCTACCAAATCCGTATCTTCCCAATTTGGAGAGAATGATATTATGGGGGTCTGTCAAAGGCCTTACTGAAGTCCAGATAGATAACAGCAGCCACTCTTTCCATGTCCACTGATGCAGTTTTACCATCAAGAAAAGAAACAAGGTTGATCAGACAGGACCTGCCCTTGGTTATCCCCTATCACCTCCCTTTCTTGTATGTGTCTTACCATAGCTTCCAGGAGGATCTGCTGCATGACCTTCCCAGCTCAGAGGTGAGGCTGACAGGCCAGTAGTTCCCTGAGTCATTCTTTTTAGAAATGGGTGTGACACTGCCTTTTTCCAGTCACCTGGGAACTTTACCTGACTGCCACAACTTTTCAGATATCTTTGAGTGGCTTGGCAACTACATCAGCCAATTGCCTCAGGACTCTGGGATGTATCTCACTGGGACCCGTAGACTTGTGGATGTTCACGTTTCTCAGGTGGTTGCAAACCTGATCTTTGCTTACAGCAGGAGAAGCGATGTTCCCCCAGTTCTCCCTGCATCCCCCCTTGGTGGGGCCATCTATTACTTAGCTCAGGAAGTTATCCTTGATACATTCTAGGAGCCTCCTGGATTGCCTACAGCTTACTTTACTGCTTTTCCAGCTGATGTCAAGGTGGTTGGAGTACCCCAGGCAGGATGAGAGCCTGGGATCATGATTTATCCTGTAGCTGGAGGAAGAAGGCTTCATCAACAGGCTGTGCTTGATCAGGTTGTCTGTAGTAGACACCAGCCACAAGGGTCTCCTTGTTGCTTTGGTTTCAAACCCTACAGGCAGACTCAGGTGGGCAATTACTCTTGGATAGAACAGATGCATCTGTTCAATGAACTGGGAGGAACAAACTCAAAGTCAGCACTGAGGTTGGCTGGCGTCCTTCAGATCTCAGCAGTACAGAGGCAGGCTGCATTTGGGACAACCACATCAATCTCAGCTTCTGTGCTTTGAATTTGCAGTACTGTGGATCCTCTCTATGTATGAGCTTGTAACACAGCTGCCTATCTACTGTGTGATTCTGGGCTTTCTGTCCCCACAAAGTGCATCTGTTTGCTAACATAGTGGCTTTCTGGAAAACTCCAGCCACCTGACCTCATTGCTTTTAGCAAAAGAACATTAATATATCAGCTGGGAGGACTATGTGCTTTCCTACAATCGCTAAAAATGTTTTAAACAACATACACATATTTTTGGCAAGCAAAATCTTTTTTTCTGTTTTGAGACTGGAAAACTAAGCAAATTCTCATGAAACGGAAAGGAGTATGCAGCTTTCTTTCAGATAACGAGTCCTAGGATATTTCCATCATTCTTAGTAGATATGGGGAGAGAATGAAAGCCACAGTGATTTTCTTTTTGACAATCTTCCTTTTGACCAAGTTTAATATTTGCTTAGAGGCACAACAGTACACTTGCTTGGAGAGGCAGGAGAGCAAGGGAAGGTCTCTGATTCATGTTGCTGTTTTAGCTTATTAAACTGCAGAGTGTTTACACTGTTGCTTGTTAAATGTAGGAATAGCACACCTATCTCAGCTGATAGTGGCATCTGGGAAAATGTGTTGAAATACAAAATAAATGGATAAGCAAAGCAAAAGGATGTTTTTTTTATGCTGCTACAAATTTGTTTTGTATGTTTCTGGAAGACATTAGCTGCAGAATAAATTTTAAATTAAAGGGGAAAAAAAGTATGAAGCTGGGGGGTGGATACCACCTTTTGTAACAGCTTTTATATTGTTCGTAAGTGACACACAATTTTGGCAGGAGTGATGTTTCTCACAAAACCAGGAAAGTGATCTCTGCTTCTTACTACAGCAACACTGATGCTGCAGAGGCCACAACAAAGGCTTGTGGTTTTATTACCATTTCCTCACATGCCTACATTACTTGGTTAAGTATCACATTACAAAATCAAAGTTTACACATGCTACTGAACAGGGCAGATAGAATTGAAACAGTATGATTGCTGATATGGACCATTTTACTGCAAGCAGTCTTCTCAGCGTGCTGGAATTGTGCATTGTGGCACCTCCAGACCAGGAGCAGAGGCTGAAATCACTGCAGCACTTCAGAGAGCCCCAAAACATTTCAGTGATGTGCAGCGACCCGTGCAAGTTCCCAAGCTGGAGGAAAGGGTTTGTTCTGGAAATGAAGTGAGCATTTGTTTAACCTAAGAAGAAGCACGTTGTTGAACCTGCAAATCCTTATAATGCATTAAAAAAATTAATAGCACAGCTATCTGCTGTTGGCTGTCCTCTGAATTTAATGATAATTGGATTTAAATGTGGTAATACTTTGCTAATAGGATAGCAGGAGAAATGTGTGTCATGTACAGTGTATGCAGATCAGGACAGGCCTGATATTAGCACCAGCAATCAGTAACCTTTTACAGTTTTGGCACTGAAAAAAAACTGCCAGGGGCTTCCATTTCCAGAAAGCCAGTTGGAGACAGTATCTTCCAAAAGCGAAGTACAAAACAGCAGTGATATATCCCAGAGTTACCCAAGGTGGTCAGGAATGGTGAGGAAACGTGCGGGACATGCATGCAGCATGAACTGCTCATTTCCTTAAGCAGAAGGAGCAGCCTTCACAATTTAGGAAGCCCTGCTACAGCCAAGGAGAAGTGGCTATCCTGGGCTTGAAGATAAATCCTTCCCTAATCTGTGTGCTGGGAGTGGATAGAAGCTAAACTGAGTGGATAGAAAAGATTTACCTGGTGTTGGCTTTCACCTTGCCAGCTGTAAAGAAAAGAGTGTAGAGTGTACAGTGCACAGCCAGGCCTAAAGCAGATATCTGCAGCTCAGCATGGACTAACGTTCTTTGCAGAGTGGTATGTCTGCCTACATCTGGGCTATGCAGTGCTTTTAGTGTAAGATGCATATGTGAGCAACTGTACTATTTACTGAGGAGGGAAGGAGAAAAGGGGCCTCAGCTCCAGGAAGCACATCTGATCATTTCTTGCAAACAGTCTTCACAGCAATAAGTTTATCATAGGAGTGCTGGAGCAGTGATAATAATAAAAGACTGATTTTAGCATGAAGTACAAACTAAATGAGAAAAGATTTTGCTTTTGATAGCTCCCTCCCATCCTGCGGTTTCCAACTTCAGATAGTTGTTCATTAACATCACGCTAGAGTAAATATCTTTATTTAGTAAAACATAAAAAGGGATTAGGCAACCCCTGCTCTGTGTCAACACTCCAGACTTATCATTAGGGTAAACTGGCTGAAATTCTGTGATTTTTTTTAAAACAGGACAGAAACGTGTAGCAACTTGGATTCAAGTGGCGTATTTCATCATGCTCAAGGCAGACATTATCACACAGGATCATTTGTCTTGGCAGTCCTTCAAGGGGTACTTTCTGCCGGTGCTCAAATCAGGTTACTTGCACAGAGAACTCCTACTTTATTTTGGAGTGGCTTCAGGGTTCGTAGTAACACAAGGAGAAAGGCAGCTATTACATTTTAACTAGCGCTTAAGTTTCTTTCTGCTATATTAAACTCACGTAACCCATGATTGGTAAATACATGTATTTAGCCATCTGCATGGTAATAAATTGATTGAGATTGATCAAGAAAGTCTCAGTACTTTGGGTTTTGAGTGCCGCTTTTTTATAGAATAGCTAACTAAATAAACTGGAATTATTTAATCCTTGGACTATAAGAGGTTTTGTGCCACTGCTCACTAAGGATTTTTCAGTTGAATTTTAGCAAATCGGCAAAAGTTGATTCAGCAGATCAACTTTTGAAATAAGTTTTTTCTTCTTTTAGTCCATAAATTGGCAATGCAGGGGTTGTTCCTATTGGCATCTACCCCTTCTACCCCTCCTGGGGAGATGGATCTGCCCTGAAGGTCTGCAGTCTGTCTGGGTGCGGATTTCTGGACAGGGTGATCAAGTGGAAGGGGAGTATTGGGTACAATACAGGTGTCACCTTCCATGTTCCTTGAAAGGAATATATTATAAAATATAATATATTAAAATATATTAAAATAAAAATATATTGTCATGAAAGACACTTCAACTCAGGTCTAAGATTCTGCTGATAGGAAAAAAAGGGTCAAAAGTTCTTGATGTGTTTAGCCAATTAATTTTCCTTCATTTTAGAATAATATGGCATATATTTCACAGAATCGCAGTATGGTTTGAGTCGAAATATACCTTTGAGATCATTTAGTTCCAGTCCCTTTGCTATAGGCAGGGACACCTCCCTCTAGAGCAAGTTGCTTAGAGCCCCATCCAGCCTGGCCTTGAATGCTTCCAGGGAGGGGAAGAGGTGACTCTCCTAAAAGGTGACAGCTGAGGATCTTCTTTCCCTCACATCTCCAGTCTTTCTTCCTGAGCAGTAATTTTCTGAAACATACCACTCTGTTGCTAGAGGAAGGTTAGTTATTCTAAATGTGTCCTCTTTGTGTCAGAAGGGATTTGGCCTGGCTGTGACTAGTGGCCCCTGCCTTTGATGTGCTATGTGACTGCCACTGCCCAGGTGCATTACAGGAGCTGCAGTGCCCTCATTCCTTAAAACTACCAGCCTCAAAGGGAGGAATGGATGGAATATTCAACTTTTCAAAAAAAAAAAAAAAAAAAACAAACCAAAAAACTAGAACATGCGTATTCCTGAGCACCATCACGTGAGTGGCTTCTGCCAGCATGCTATAGCTGGGGAAAAAAAGGCTGCACAGACCTTAAACAGCCTATCTTTGTACAGTCTACAAAACAAATATTTGAGCCGACACAGGTTTCTCAAGGGACTCTGTTCATGTGTAGCATGCTACATGCTCTGACTGCTGTCCCAGTGACACAGTGAACAAGAAAAATATGTTGTTCAGATGTACATGCCCTTGTGTTCTGGGCTGGCTCAACATTCTGAAGGTTTTGGTAACCTGTCCATGATAACTGGACATCCTTTGTAGTCAAAAGGGGTGGGAGATCATGCATATTCTCCATAAACTTACAAATGTTACTGAAGTTTGGCAACACTTTATAGTTACACTTTATGAGATGAAATAATTTCTTCATTCTTAAAAATTTCTTAAAGCCACAGCTTAAATGTTGCATCAGCTGAGATCTTTTCCCTATGAAGAGCTATACTGCAGGGCACCCCAGGAAGAAATATGGGATGTACTGGCCTCTCCTGTGATGCATTTTCATTTTCAAAACTATTTTTATTTCTTAAAAAGCAAATTTGTGGAGTTATTATATCAGCTGGTCTTCTCACTGTGGGTTCTCCCACACGGTGACAATGCTATTTAAATATATATTTTTTCAATTTTCTGAGGCTAGAATGAAGTAATGAAAAGTGCAGCTAAAAGATGCACCAAGGTGCTTCAATTGACCAGAAGATAGCCCTTGTTCAGCGATACGAAATAGAGACCATTTGTTAAAAGAAAACTAACCTAAAAATATTGCAGCTGAGACTAGATGCTTTCCTGAATTAGTTCCTACTTCAATGACATGATGTTGTTTAGAATATCACCTAATTTCATTTTAAAATTGATGCTGATGGGGAGTTTGCTCTAGCAAATTGTCTCAGCAATTCAGACTGTCAAAGATCTTGCCACACAGATAAGCTTATGGTCCCCCTGTTCTCCCATGTGGGTACTGACAGGCTGCAGTCACTGTACCGTGGGATCACAGGCAGATGGGAGCAGTGGGACCTCACCCAAGTCCTGTGCTCAAAGCAGGGCCACTCCAAGAAGGTTGCCAAGGACTATGTCCAGTCTGGATTTGAATGTCTCCAAGGATGGAGACTCCAAAATTCTCAGGGCTAGTGTTTGATTACCATACGGTGAAAAACTTGCGTCTTGGATTGTTTTGGGGTTTTTTTTAAATTATTATTATTATTATTATTGTTTAAAGGGAATTTTATGTATTCTAGGTTTTGCCCTTTGCTTCTTGTCCTGTCAGTGTCCTGTCACCACAGAGAGAGTCTGGTTTATTTTCTTTTGCTCCCCCTGACCACCACCAGGTATCTTTAAACATTCATGTTCATTACTCCTAATGGTCTCATATTATTTATAGAACCCATTTTTTCCCTCCTAAGTGGCTACAGACTGTCTGCTTCCATTTTGGAAAAATTATTTCATTTGCAAATGTGCATTACATTAATCATTCAACTTGCCAGTTCATACAGGTTAATTTGTAACAGTAGATTGGACACTTTACAGTATATTGGTTCTCAGCCTTCACTGTAGATTTTCTTAGTAACTTTAGATAACTCGTGTATGTGGAAGGCTTTTGCTCTGAAGGCAGTATTTCCACATAGCATAACAAGGGAGAACAAAGGACATGGAAGAGGTAGACAGGAAGAGGTACTGTTTGGATATCCTAATTGGGTCAGATTTGGAAGTTCATAACAATTTGCAGTTGATTACTATTCTTATTTTTTACTTCTCTGTCTAACACTGAGGTAAGAGTAGATTTTACTTGCAAGATCTGGCAAAGGGTTGGTTACTGCTTATTAATAGAGCTCCCTTATTCAAATGAGAGATTAAGATAGAAGTAAATTGACAGTCTACCCACAGTTGCACTTTGCAGTTCCTAATGTAGTACATGAACAGGAATAGTTTATTCTATAAACTTGTTCAGGTTCCATCACTCTGTAGACTTTGAATAATCAGGCCAGTGACTCAAGGCAATCCTACTAGAAGATTGAAGCTATAGTTGTGGCTCACAAAAGCCCACTAAAAGTCACGACCAAAGCATGAGTCACTGAAGTGTGAGCACCACGCTCTTCATCCATGCACTGCACTTTTACCTGACTGTGATTTTCTATCAGTGTCAACTTTAAAGGGCCTTGTATCCCAGGAAAAGTTTAGGTATCTCTCATCTACACTGTGAGCTGCTAATATGCAACCTTAGGTCATTGAACTCCACCTGAACCTTATTTATTTTTACTTCTGCAGAGATGACATGAATTATCCTTCTGACACTGGATCTGAGTAAGTAGATGCACTCCATGTGATCACATTGCTTCTATTGCAGGAGGCAGATGTAGACTTCAGCACTTCCTCTCAGTATATCTGTCTGTTCCTATATATATCACTGCATGGCATGGATAACATCCTTGCAAAGGCCATCGTGGTCATGTGAGGAAAGGATCATGTCACTTGAGAATAAGTGCTTAGAGGTGAATTACTTCCAGAGAGTAGAGAGTCCACGCGGATTCACAGTTGAGCAAAGCTTGCAAGTATTACCTGAAAAAATTGAATGAGTTGTATGTGGACTATTATACATAAATTGCAGTATATGGATCCCAAAAATATGGAATATTTTGATTCAGACATAAACAGAAGAGAGACTTTACAGATAGAAATCTCATTCAGACACAAATAATGGGCTGATACTGCTTCCAGGCATTCTGAGTGTCTGATTGAGTTTGATTACAGTTCTACAGAGTCAAGGGTTGGCTTCCTTGGTGCTTCCTTTGTGCCATGGAGGATCCATTGGCAACTTGAAGCCTGCTCACTGGGGATTGGGGCTGGCTGTCTGATATTGCAGTTCTGTAGTTGGTGCCTTGTCGTGTGCTTTTATTCCCTAGTAGAATTTGATGGAAAGGAACAGGACAATTCTTTTTCCTGTCCAGAAAGCAGCAGTGTGTGGCTTGTTTCTGTGCTGGCAACTATATGTTGAGCAAATGGAGGAACTAAAACCTTCTTGGAAGTCAGTATAAAGGCTTCATACAACGTGCTGCAACAGTACTCAGCCAGCTGTCAGGGAAGCCCTTATCATCAGCTGTGATGTACTTCAATTAGAAGCCCATCTCAGCAAAAGAAGTGTTCTTCAGAATACAGGGCTGGTTCTCGCAAGAGGGGCAGCTCTTGTTGCTATGTTTTAACCAGGCATACAAGAAATAACGTAAATTTTTCTTTGCAATAATTACTGAAAGGATGGTAACTCAGAAGGTAATAAAAGTAGTGTGACAACAGCAAAGAACATTTCAGAGAGCTTTTATGGCTCTGGCCTGGGAGAAGGGCAGCAGACTCATGGTATATTCACTGTCACTGAACAAAATCCCCATGTTGTTAGGAGGTGCTCAGTATCTGCATCCTATCTCACAAATTTATTTCCTCAAAGCCTGCAGGAAACACCGAGATAGTCAATTCCTCTATGTAACATCTTTGGGTGACATTTGGTAGCAGGGATAAAATGAAAGAAGAGCAAAAAGAAAATGCACTACACCCAGAGACATTTGGGTAGTAGTGACTGAATATGACCAAGTGCAAGGAAACAGCAAGAACTGATCTCTAGAAAACAGAAGGGTCTTATTCAAGCCTGAATGATTTCCATGCCTTTCTTACCATTTCCCTGAGTAGCCACTAGCTTTTCCTTTCATAATTGCTTTTGTGATGCCACAGGAGAGAGATTTCAATCCTGCTGTCAGTGCTGGCCATGGTCAGCCTCATGCAGTCAGCTCACTAACAGCTGCTTCTTAGTTGTGTTTTCTCTGTCGCTGCACAGTTTTCTGCTGCTGTTCATAAGAGATTTGCTGATATTTGTCCCACCTTAAGTAAATAATCTGAACCACTCCGTGTACAAAAAAAAAATATCCAGAAATCTCCATGCCTTCTGGCAGCTTTGAGACTCGATTCATTTACTTCTGCTGCGGGCTGCAGAAAAATAAATTGATCACTGAAAGAAGGCAAAATTGAGCTTTATTTATTTGGTCAAGGTTCAACTTCACCTGCAGCACAATGCAGCCCTTCTCTCCAGAGCTGACTAATATCCACTTAATAACAAGCAGCCTCACAGAGAGCTGTGGAGCAGCACAGTGACACCAGCAATTCTTGGCAAGGTCAACTACTAAGCAAAGAGAGAGAAATATACGAAATGCAGCTTGTGGTGAGAGAAGCTGCAGGAAATCAGAGGGAAAAAAGCAGAAGTTTAATGTAGTCAGAAATACATGGAAACTGTATGAACATTATAAAAAGGAGAAAAATCTAAAAAGGGAGGCAAGAAGGGGAAAAGGCAGTCCAAATAACCAGCAAGTTAGCAAAGAGTGTGCCAAATTAACTGTGTACACAAAGCCTCTGCCAGAGGTGGAAGACCAGAATGCAGTGTTCTTTCTGGTCAGATTCAGTCTAGAATAGTATTGCAGCAGCACACGTGGATAAAGAAATTAACTGGACTAAAAAACTGGACTAGATCCAGTGGCTGCAAAGAGAATACTGCATGGTGAGTAGGAATTCATTTTATTGCTGAGACTTAAGAGGCTCAGCAACATTCTCTGTGTGGTTAGTAATTGCCATCTGCAGAAAATGGCAAAAAGTAAATCTCAGGAACCTGAAGCACGTGGGATTCATTTGGCTTTGAGAAAACGGTTGGTAAATGATAGCAGACTGGAATCTTGATGGCTGCAGGGTCTTTTATTTATAGTCCAATCATTTGATTTAGTGTTTGAACTGTAATTAAAGATGCACCTTTTACACAACTCCGGCAAAACACACAACTCATTTCTCAGTCATTTTGTTAAAGGCAATTAGGCAAACTGCTCACAGCTTTTCCAAACATCCCGGAACAAACATTCTTTAGAAATAATGAGCAATACATGGAGAAGCGGACCTGCAAAAAATAGCCATGCATGTTGCTGGTAATATTTCAAGTAAGTTAGGAGCTGCAGTCATTACTTCTCATTACTAATATGATGAGAGTAAGAATTAAAATGCCAAAAGTAATTTACTTTTTGGGAAAAAAAAAAAAAAAATCCACCAGGCAGAAAGACAAGAAAAGATTTGCCAGGCTAATTTTAGCAATCCTGGATTACTTATTAAGAGCTAGGCACTCTGGGCATGGCTGAGCAAGGCATTTTCTATGGCAGCTCTGTGAAACCCTCACCCTCTTCCATCCAGTTAATGGTCACGGCTACTTCTAGGCAAATTTCAACTTTTGGGCTGTAGAAACTACAGTGCTTACATTACCTGGAGGTGCCCTACCCATCATGGCTTAATATACATAATTTCAGATAATTAAAGGGTACTTTATGAATGTATAGTTAATAAACTGAGAATAAAGAAGGGTGTGTTTCCCATATAGTGAAACTTATGTGTTTACAAACTGTGTTTACATGTAGGTGACCTTACTGAGCAGAAGGGACAGCTGACATTTCTGCATAATTTTACCACACAAGCACTGAACTGAGTAGTTTGCAAGTGCTGCACACATACGGCAGCAATTCCATATTTTTCTGTTTTGACATATTCATGTGTATATGTAATCATGTCCATAAGAGCATACAAGCTATTGCTGAGTATTTGGAGTGTATTCTTAATAAGGCATTTAAAAACAGACTAGAGAGAAAAACAAACTGCAGTACTTTCATATGTTCTGATGTGAGCATCTACTAAGTACAGATAATTTCAGGCAGGCTATTAATCCCTGCACCATGCAGTCTCCTGTCACAAAATTCAGAAAGATCCAGAAACAACAATATTTTGAAGCAGAGAGAAATGCAAAATGAACTCAGTATTTCAAAATCCTCCAGAGAAAACCCATGCCCCTCTTTTTCCTGTTACTGATCTGCTAGTGTTCCTTTTGCCTTACACATATTAAAACTTCAGAAGGAAGGTATGGTATATACTGCTGGAAGCAAAGAGTCTGTATCAAGGAGATGTTTGTTAGAATATATTCAGTAGATGTATGACATGGAAACTTTTTAATTCTAAGGAAAATGAAGTATCTGCTTTGTTTTATACCTGCAGTGTTGATGCAAGAAGCCTGGACTGGGAGAACAGAAGGTATTATCTCCTTTCCCAGCTCCAGATAATGCCCAAGCAAAAAATGCCAGCAAGTTCAGCTGCAGAAGCACTAGCACTGCCAATGGTAAGCAAGCCTAGTCATAAGTGATGTTATGATCTGTCTCAGGACAGCCCTGTTCTAAAAATTACAGAATGATGAATTGTGAGATTTTAAATTAAAAACAAACAAACAAAAAACCCAGACAGTTTTAGAGCTGATCACTGAGCTTAAAGAGGGCTCTGTGCAGGAAAACTGTTCACACCTAAGTGTATTATTTAATTATTTGCCTGTATTTTCAGAGACATCTATGCCATAACAGATGCTCTTTAACTATAACACATCCTGTGGAAGTTTATTGTTTCTCCAAAGGTTTTGGAACACTTACCATATTCATTGTGATGTCTTCTCCTTGCAATTGAATGCAAATAGGCAAAGTTTAAGAAGCAGATTCAGTCTTAAATGAGAACATCTTGCCTTCTGTTGATTAGCCAGCATTGTAGTACTGTTTACAATGGGTTTTAATTGGGTTGCATCTGTTTCTCTTAAAAAACAAACCTGAATATTTATCATTGAAGCTCTTGGGAGCTATATTAAATAATAGTGCAGTTTATATAAATCACTAATAAGTACACTAATAAGTTACAATAAGTATTTATACCAAATAGAACATAAAAGTACCCTAGAGGCTAGGTTCACTTTATATAAACACATCTTAGAAAATATTAATTTGATAGACTGAGACAGCCCTAAGCAGTAAATATATATTTGAGAGAACTGCTGTACACTCTCCAAACTCACCCCATTTGTACAGCACGCATCATTTGTTCCTAACTAAATCTGCTTGTAAGTTCCCCTAAGCACCAGTATTATTTATCTAACATTTCCTGTCCTGTAGCAGAAGATGGGAATCAAGTTGACCAAAAATCTTGTTAATGAGAAGTTACTTGCCATACCATGTTAAGATGGCAGAACATTTTATACACTTGCATTACTCTACTTTTTTTTTTTTTTTTTCCCAAAAAAAATTTCCTGATACGTGAAGCAATTTCACAGAGAATGACAAAGCACAGTGTGAGGACTAGCAGCTGATGGTATTTGGGTATAGCAGCTGATGGTAAATGGTATTTGGGCTCTGAGTACCCAAATACCACTGCATCTAGTTTTATATATGTTTAAATACAACTGCATCTAGCTTTAGTGACACAGTCTGTGGGAAAGAGCAGCTCTTTTAGGACTTTCACTATTTTGTGATGAGGGCAGTGATTGATCTACACTGAGACTGGGGTTTTCTTCCTGATATTCTGACGTCCAAATTAAGCTGAACTGTCCTTGGTCATGTTCTGTGCCTCTATAACAGTTTAACAACAGTCTTAGCAAATTTACTTAGCCCAAATAAACCCAAATTCCTGAGAATGTGTTGGGTTTGCTGGTTTGCTGAATCCGTGTTTTTATTAAAATGTTTATTTTGGTACTTTTCCCATTGGCTAGACGGCTCTTAATACTTTTTCACTTCATTGCTCATTTGCTACTGCTATGCACATAAATCAATGATGGAATTGTATCCTCCCTACTGTGACTTTTTTTAAATATATCTGGTCTATACAGGATAAATTCAAGCCAGTGGTGGAACCTGTTCACCCCTTCCCTCCGCCTACAAGTGGGACATAACAATAATGAATTCTTAAGGGAACTATCCAGATTAATGTTTCTCAAGAAACGAGTCATATCAAAGCAATTCACTGAATGCTGCTGTCTCACAGGACACTTCTTGAGTTTCTCTCCAGAGAATAAATGTTTCTAGTGGAGTAGCATATAAGTGTTTTTATTAGTAGAATTCACAGGAATTCACTCCCTTAATAAAAGCAAAAAAGCAGAACAACGTAACAGTGCATCTGGGATTCAGTGAATGCAGAGATTGAGTTTTGTGTAGTAGACATTAGGGATACTCAGGGCAATTTTTCAGAAGAGAGGCATAAAGAAGAACCAGAGCTCACACACTGTCTATGGTGGGTTCCAAAATTCTGCCTTCCCACAGAAATTTACTAATGACTTGTATGTGTTGCAGTCTTCTGCAAAAAAGCTTTGGCAAGCTTTTGGTCTGTGACTTCCACTGACAACTTATTCCTAGACTAAGTCTGCTTAATTTGACAGCCTTTTCATCTGAACTGTGCAATGCTAACTCATGATGATGAGATTGTTATGTAGGGTGGGTAGTCTGTATGCAGCTAGGCTTGATGTGGTGAAGAAAGATGGCAAGCTAGCCCATTTAGAGCAGGTTCTGCCCTCTATGGTCTTCCAACTAGCATATCCCAAGATGCTTTGCAGGTAGAAATCAAGTCATCTGTTAACTGAAAAAAACCCATACCTTCTAGCACTAGAAATGGGATTGTGATGTTGAGCTCTGACATGGATAACATGGAGTCCTTCTCCTCATGGAAGTGAAGCTGAAGACAGAGTGTTTCTAATGCAGCTCCAGCACAGAAACCTCCCATTGAACACATCTCTTGGGCTGGAGGTAAGCAAGGTGTCTGACACCTCTGATAATTCATCTCAGCTCTTAAACTGTGGTGGTGGTTTTGGGTTTGGGTTGTGGAAAACTCTTTTCAGCAGTTCTGAGAGATTAGACGTGACTCCCAGATTCCAGAAGCACCCAGAGCACAAAGGGCAGGCTGGCAAAGCCTCAGGCCCATCATTTTTCCAAAATTTAAGGCTAGAAATACATTTGCCTTCTAACTCTGCAAATTGTATTTGCTCCTCGTGCTCTTTGTATCTCTACTTTCAAACCCACAACCTGACCCGATGTATTTTAGGCACTTGTGATTTTTGTGCCATAAAGGGACCTGGCAAAAGGCCTGCACCCCACTTCCTTCTCTCTTTGTGAGCTCTGGGCAGCCTCACATAGCAATGGTGCCTAATGGTTTCACTTTATGTGCTCTACTGTGTAGGCCTGAGTAAGGCTGGGGCTCCAGCTGAGCTCAGGAAAGGGCTAAAAGACAAGCTAGATGGTCAGAAACATCCCCCGAGTAGTCTATACACCAACTGCCCTGTAATTTCAGAGCAGCCCACTCTGCTGCTCAAAGCAGCTCCTCACCTACCTGAGTTCTTATACTGGGGATAAAACTGGAAGGCACAAAGCTGATACAGTCTATATCTGTCTCTCTTCAGCCTCCCTTAAAATTCCTGGGAAGCTCTGTGGGGTACAGCCATCTGATAGAGATATTTCTTCCTCATTATGTCACGTTCTTGTAATTTTGCTGCTTAATTATCCAGGATAAGGATGAGGTGGGGATAACATAGAGAAAGTAAAAGAATCACAATACAAAACGCTTCTATTTGCCTACAAGAAGATCCTGAGTGTGTTCACGTTTGCTATCAGCTTCCTAAAGAAAAGAGGAAGAGCTTTAAATCAAGGTAAGTAGAGCTGTCTCAGGTGAGCATAAAGCATTTTCTATTCTATAATACAGGCATTAGATGAAAGCAACCCCAGAGCTGGGTGAGTGTATGTAACTGTCAGATGATGCCCCATTTTTACATTAAAAAGCAGACACCATTCATTGACAATGAAGCTGGAACATTGCTTCATAAGGAAGTGTAGGGCTCCTGCGGGATCCTCCTGGAAACTTGATAGGTGTGTTCTTATGGTACTGCTCGGGGAAGCAAGTTTATGAATCAGTATTTTGCTACATCTGTATCACCAAAATCAGGATAATATATGGCTATGTTTTGCTTCTTATTAGGGAAGATACTTTTGTGGTATCTTGACTATATTTATAACAAGATATTTGACTTTCAAGCATTTCAGAGAGCAATTTTGCCATTTTCTCCATGGAAATCAATATCCATTGAGTATGTACAAGTTATCTATGAATCACCTTTATCTCTTTGTCAAGTATTGTCAGAGGTGTACTCTAATCTTATTACGAATTCACCTTTCATTTGAAAATGAAGAGGTTCGACCACAGGTCAAATGACAGATCCATTGTTGAAATCTAGTGGGAGCTTCATTGCACTGAGTTCCAGATCCAGAGAGGAGTTTTAGCATCAAAATCTCTCTGCCCCTAACTTCATTTAGCTACTGCTTAGTCCTGCAGGCAGGCATAATATACAGCAGCTGCAGTTTCATTGTTAATATTTCTCAATTGTTTAGAATTATGGGACTATAAGTGTCCAGAAATACGTCAGTTGTGACTGAGATGCAGAAACAAGCTTAGGAGGCATCAGATCTGCTGTCACATTCAACTTCCTCAGCACAGTCACTGCAGTCACTGTGCTCTATTCTTTCCCTGTTCAGCATTCAGGTGGTCTCTTCAGTTTACACTAAAAATCCAGCACTTCTTTTCTGACATGCCTTCACAAAATTGTCAGCATTAAAGAAAATATTTGCAGAATATATCATCTTTATACTAGGTAAACAAATAATAAATTGCAATTCTGAAAAATTAGAACATTCATAAAAAATACTGTCCTTATTAGCTCTGCAAGTGCTGTTCAGGGTGTTACATCAAACATATTTAGGAGATAAGGAAAGATTATCCACTTGGCCTTATAAAGCATTGAGAGGACAGCATGTCATTGCTGTAAAATGCTTGATAGGCAAAAGATGCTGAGCATCTCATTCTTAACAGACCACAAACTGGAATGGGTTTCCTGGTTTCATGCTGGCCCTTAACTGACTTGCCCATATAAAATATTGCACAACCAGTAGGCTTTGTTGTGGAAGGTGGGCCAAGGGAAGGCATGGGCAGGGCAGGTCAGTGTGCAGCAGAATGGCCTCCCTGTGCCCACAGCAGTGTTCTACCCTCAGGCTCATAAATAGCTACCCACCTCCATACCAGTTTAAAAAGAAATTAAAAGCAGTTAAATCTTGGAATAAATGTCTTTGACTTCAATTTACATTGCTAATTACTGTAATTTATAACAAATATTAACTAAGCCAACCACACAATTAACTACGCTGGTTCCTTTTACCATATTATCCAGTGCTGTTTTGCTATTGTTTTAATAGATGTGGCAGCTTAACCTCACAGTGGACTCGCTATATACTTTCAGGCTGTTTTGTTCAGATGGCAGATTTTAACTGCAATTAGACTGACATGAGCATGGCACGACTGATACCTTCTTGGCCATCTGCCTCCATCTCCTTCACAGCAAGTAATAATCCAGAAATACATAAGAACTGGCAGTGATTAGAAATGCAGAACAACTGGAAAATAAGGTTTAATTGCTAGTGTTTCAGTGTGCCAAGATAATACCATGAGCACTGACTCATCAGAATAAACTGATTTCTGACTTCAGTGTTGTGTTTTTTGAGAACTGAGAGAAAAATGGTTGACAGGATAGGCAAATGTGAAATTGCTCACAGCATTTAGGCACCAACTCTGCCCTTTTTTAGTGCTTTGATTTGCAGTCTGCAAGTATAATGGCACAGCATATTTCAGGCTACTACAGAAAGCCTTTAGGGACAGTTCCATTACACGATAGCCTGTGATTGTGCAGAGTGAAGATGATGACTCAGGCGTGATGACTGCCAGTATGATATTGATAATGAAATGTTTTGCTGAATCACCTTCAACTCCATCCCCAGTGTCTTTCCAACAGATGGGAGTGTAATTACTGGTGACTCACAGCAGCACATACAGCCTATGCATTTCAGGCAGGATATAAGGTGAGAACAGCTCCGTTGCAAGTTTGAGAATTCAGGAAGTGTGAGGGAAATACTGCACAGTGCTCAAGAATGGAAGAAAGCCTGATCTGGTCATAAAAGAATGGAACTATTTGAGAGAAATGTACTACGTAGGTTGCTCTGAAAATAATGCCTCCAATTAATTTCCACAGAAGCTACAACAGTTAACAGTTAACTCAGTAACTCAGTTACAAAACACTTTTTCAAAATTGTAACCGTTAGCTATGCATTTTCACCAATGATGAACAAGAGCCTGCATGCTGCACCAGCAGAGGTGACCCACTGTCTCCATCACCACTGCTGAAACGCACCACCCACTGCCTCACTGCGCTCACGTCCACTGTTTAGACTCCAGAAATATTCAACAAGCATGAATGAATGTCAATGGTTGCCCTTTTTGTTCTGGATGGAGGAATTCAATGACACTCCTTTGTTTCACACACACTTCCATGTCATCTGCTATTGTGTCAGACTCCTCATCTGCTGCCATCTGTCACATGGCAACATGTAATGGAATAACATCAGGAAGGTTCACCTCTACTGTCATAACACCAACATCCACCTCTAACATCATGGGCCAACACAATAAAATAGGAAGCATTACTTTCAGAGCAGCCTCTGTATTTGGAGCATGTTTGAAGTAGGGTAGGCAATCCAGCTGGTTAGTGCAGGCATGAAAATCAAAAGTGGGTCCTCCTGCTCCAGAAGCAGTCTCTGTACTGAAAGTACATTTGCTAATTATGTTTGAAATGCTCACCTGGCCTGCAAAAACATGAAGATGGGTGAAATGGTTTAGGATGGCCAAACAGTTGTTTCAAATCAGCCAAACCTTCGCATCTCCACCTTCCACTCCATTTCTTGCTAAATTAAATTTAAATATCATTTGTAGCTCTGGCATTTGCTGAATGAAAAGAGTAAAAACTCTGTGAAAATTGGGAGGGATAAAAATACATATATTTCTCAGTTTTGTTTTCAAATCAGTAAAATTAGCCGGAGGCTTTCAGCACTCATCTCCCTGTCACTGGTCCATCTGTTAAATGTAGGAGTAAAATAGCTGTTTAAGAGGAAGCAAATGCTGTCAGCACAACTATTTCAGTGTCTCCTTAGAGCAGAGGAACATTTCCTTCACCAGACTGGGCTGCAGCACAGCCCTTGCTGACCCAGCCATCCCCTAATTCTTGTCTGGTGTTTGGCAGCCAGCGTGGGAAGCAAGGAACTCATGGCAAGCATTAAGGACCGGATGGTGGAAAACATCCAGGGACTCCAGTCCACATTCTTTTTCCCTTTTGTACTGCTTGCCACTTTGGGAGGCAGTCACACAGGTCCCCAATTTACTGCAGGATGGAAACACTTAATTTGAACCATTATGTGATGGGATCCACACTGTCCAGGGAAACCATGTGTTTATAGTGTTGAAAAGGAGTGCCCTTTGGAGAACAACAGCTTATGGAAGATGCTTGAACAGAATGGCTGGAATCCCTCCTGCAGGACTGGCAGTGGTTTAAGGGGAACCACCCTGCAGAGAGCTCTCCAGCAGCAGCGTCAGACCAAGCCTCCTATGTAGACCCACAACAGGCAGACTAAAGCAACAAAAATGATGAGCTGCAAGAGGCTGTGATTTTAAAAAAACAATTGAAAAGAATATGTTGCAAACAACTGCGCAGAGTTGTCTCTATGAAGGAGCACAAATACACAAAATGCTGCAGAGGATCCCTTGCTGTCGTGCCCAACTTGTGACTCAGAGGAGGAAAAGCAAGTAGCTCTGACAAAAACTGAAACCATCAATGAAAGTACAGCCACTGCTGTCTCAAAATTATTTTAAACCTGTGGCAATTGTCCTTGTGGTACCTAAACCATGGGTTCTGTGCCTGTGAATGATACTACTCTAATTCCCAAGAGAACAATATAAAAATAAAGGTAGAATATTAGGAATTTATTCTGGTTTTCAGTCTCGCAGGACAGGTGGTAACCCTGCTGTCTGAGCAGAGCTCCAAAAGTGGGACAGGAGAGCATTTCTGTAAGTAACAGCTTTTCCTGGAGGATTTAAAAAACCTTGGTAAAAAAGAAGAAATGGAAAAGGGTTAGAATGGTGTCTGGAAGGCATCCATTGGCCATTCAGAAAGTGACAGCAGCAGCTGTTAATGATGTTGCTTTAGGAGCAGAGAAAATTCACTTCCCATTCTTTCCACAATTTTTAAGAAACTCAGCTTTGTGCATCAGAATGATCAAGTAAGTGAATACCTCTTACTTTAGTTTTTGGTGTTTTTTTTTTTTTTTTTTGTCAAACTGTTTTGACTGCTAAAAACTGCAGTTAACCATCAATCTATAATCCAGTCTTTTTTCTGGCCAAAAGGGCTACAGATAAAAGTACTTTCCCCTTTTCTCCTGAAATGGTCCAGCAGGCTTCCGTGCCAGATAAAACAAGGCAATGAGAATTTTTCATTCTAGTTAGTAGCCCTAGCTACAAATTGACCAAGTTAGGCTCTTTGGTCAAGCTGCATGTGGAACTTGGAACAGAGGCTTTTATTGCCATGCATGGTGCCCCATCACTATCTCCTCCAACAGAGTGGGCTCTATAGGTAGCCAGAAACACCTCACACCTGCACTGATTCTTGCTTCCTCTAACAAGATCTGTGCTGCTCTCAGTGTTGCCCAGGAATTTCCTACAAGCTCTTGCCCGTTAACATCCAAGCTACCATGAGTGGGAAGTGAATATTGCTCTGCCAGTCTCTGCAAACATAGGTGCAAATTAAGAATTTTTTTTTTTAGAGGATGGGTAAACCTTCATCTACCTTGTTCATTTTCTACAAGCAAGGGCAGCAAGTGCTCCAAGAACATCTCTAAGACACCCATGGATCAAAATACCCAGCATTTTCTCTGCTGATTTCTCTACTGGTGCTTTGGGCTTATGGTTTCAATGGTCCCAGTACAGCTAGGGCGCTAAGATAAGGGCCTATGAAACCTCCCTGCTATTTTACTCTGCAGGGGAGAGGCTTGATTTGGAGGATGAGAAGCACCATTCAGTTATTCAGCAAATAATTACCATGTGTGCCATACAATCAGCATTTGCTACTCCCATTTTCTCAGCTGCTGCTAATGCAGCACTAAGCACTAACCTATCATTCCTAGGTTGACAGAAGGCCCACAGAAGACTAACTTCAGCAGTAACACCTATCCCTTATGCATCATTTTCATCTACTAGCGGAAGTGGCTCTTGGCTCTTGTTCTGAAGACCTATGGGGAGTCCTAACTTGTGTAATCTCAATTTCTGGGTCTCCCTTCAACCAGCAGATGGTTCCTCTGTGGTGGTATTACACATCTGCCCTTCTATCCTTCCTGAGGAAAATGATGACAGACCTCTGAAAATGACACAGTCCAGCAATTTGGATGCCCACAGTCTTCCAGAAGACAACACCAGGTAAGAAAGACTATAGCCTGAAACTCAAGGGCTAGGGAAAATGGCTTGGAAGTTAGTGGTTCCTGACTTTCCTATGCAGAGCAAAACGTAAACGTTTTTACGGCTGTGGTAGCAAAGGTAGTAGCTAGAGATAGGGAGATTGTGTGCTGGTTTCGATTATCCATCTTTGAGGGCAAAAGGAGGCTGGAATTCTTCTAAAGGAAGAATGAAGGTGGGTGGAATATTTGACAAGCTTTTGTCTCTCAAACCTTTGCTGTGCTAGATGGAGTGTTTGAAGGGTATTGATATTCAATATCTGATTGTCACCTGAACGCAGAATTTTTAGTTGTAACCACTGAACTCTGCAGTTCCTGCCTGTTCTTGTAGTGTGTGGCCTTAACATTTTATGGAATGGACCAATCACTGGCTATGGCTGTGCAGAGTAGTGATGGGCTGAGCTACTTTCCTGAGGTCAGTGGTTCACTTCAGGGGTCAGAGCAAAGTCAGAGGTCTGTGTAATGTATCTTGACCTGAGCTGATCCAACTGTAATGAGGTATGTAATTAGTTGAGGAATAGAGCTGTTTGGTTTTTTGTTTGTTTGTTTGTTTTGGTTTTGTTGTTTTTTTAAATCTACATAATTTATTATTTTTTTTTTTTTTCTAACTGTGAAACAGCTGGATGCCTTCAAAGCCTGTCTCCTTATATACTGAATTAGTTCCAGGCACATTGGCTTTCTCTTCTGAGGCCAAGGAAACTGTAGGGAGATTGACAATGGGAAGGCAGGAGACAAAAGGATCTTGCAAAGAAAAGCCTTTAAAACTAAAATTTAAAAATAAAAAGTCCTCACTCTTGAATTTTCCCTTATTCTAGTTGATGATGTTTGCTGTGCATTATGAATTCTTCCTCTCTTTTGAAAAGATTTTTTCTCAAAGGAGGACCAGTAAGACATGTTATTTTAAAAAATGCAACTGTTTGCTCTTGACATGGCTATTTCCCAGATTTGACCTCATGGTTAACTGTGGCTGTAACTGGGGAAAGAGGAGCTTGCCTATGGCAGGAGTTGTGCAGTGTGCAGCAGCAGGAGAGGGGAATTGCTGTGTCGGTCCTATTGCCACCAACTGAGAGTGTAGAAGTACCACTATCATGTTCCAGTGCAAGGTGCAAAATGCTTCAGGGCTGATGGCATCTGAAATGCTATGATGGCGAACTATGAAGAGAAAGCAAAAGCATTTCTCCAGGAACCCTTTTGAAGCAAATAATTTAGCTTCTCAAGGGGTTTTACTCTTCCTCATTTATTTCTATCATAATATAGTAAACTGTAGACCAACTTTTTCTGACTTCTGCTTTCTGGGTTTTGTTTAAGCACTGGTTACTTTCCCTTGAATCAGCTCTGGTTGCTAACTTCTTGTAACCATAACCTTCCTGACAGTGCTGTTAGAAAGCCCAGTCCTGAGCCTCATTCCCCTATGATCAAAGTAAGCTGAGGATTTAATGCACAGCATGTTGCAAAGTTATCCAGAACTGAGTTGGACCCTAGTGCTGCATTCTTGCTTTGCCTCAGCATAATTAACCATGGTATTTTCTACCTTACTCTTCAAAAGATGCACTCACTGAAATCAGCATTGGGCCATTTGCAGCAAACACTGCATAAATAGAAGTCAGTCTACCTATCTGGCATGAACTTTATCCCTAAAGCAGACAACTCCATTCTTGGCACAGAAAACATGAAGGCTTACCATCTTGGTGACTGATCCAGAAGGGAGATGAGCAAAGGCTGGAGAGTTAGAAGTATGTAACACAAGGAGGAGGTGCACAAAAAGATGAATGTTCTTAATGGGGGTGATAACATCCTTAAATTAAGTGCCCAGTGAACTGTATCATTGATTCAATCTGCCCAGATGTTGTAGGCTTCAGAGACGGTCTGTCAAGCACCTCAGAAGTGATGTATGTTCCCAAGCCTTACCACACAGGATTTGTGAAGTCAGTTGAGCAATGAACAGACGGGTTCCAGGCAGCACAATGTTTTCACTGCTGAAATTGAGGACCACGCAGCCAGACTTTAATCAGAGCTGACTGAAAAAGGTATTTCTGCCTTAAGGAAGTTCCAAAGGTCAGACAGGCTCCTATCCAAAAGTGCGTTATAAGCTGAAATATTCATTTTTTTCATGAAATGAAGCATTACAGATTCTAGAGAAGGGATGTAGGGAGAGGCGAAAAAGCTGTTACTCATTCTCAAGAACTTACAGGCTACCGCAAAAAGACAGCAAGAGTTTCCTCTTCCTGTCTATGCAGAATACGGCTAATTGGGAGCTTAATTTTAGTTAGGCTATGGCTTCAGGAGCCTCTTTTAAAGTAAGAAGAGAAAAGAGTAATTGGAAAGATGTGAACCCTCCATCATTAAAGGGATGTAAGAGCTGATTAAGCAAATGCCAGTCAGTACAGCTGATTCTTGATATAGGAGGAGAAGGAAGAGATCTCAAGAGAAGATTGAGGGCAGCCTTACCTTATTTTGGCCTCACTGAAACCTTTTGCTCTTTATTATGTTTCATTTTAAAGCTTATAACTGTCTGAAAGGGATAAAAGCTTATGCTTTGTGTATATATATAATTACCTTAAAATGTACCATATAGCCATTAATTTACCAAATATACCATATAAATTACGGTAATTCATTTATGTATAACTAAAGAAGTTAATATTCATTAATTGCCTGTGTGAATTCTAATTATGTTCTCAGGAAATGCTGAAACACAGCAAAAGCACTGCCTGTTTACTGGGCAAATGTGATCTTGCAAGGCATTTTTGCACAGAAGTTGTCTTAAAGCTAAAACTTGTTAAAAATAAGCTGGTTTTTGGTATTTTAAGTGATTTACGTCTCAGTCAAGAGAAGAACAAGTAAGCATTTTGAGTCCTGATGGCTGGTCCCAGAACTTGGCTGGAGGACAAGAAGTGCTGCTTTTCCTCATTGCGAAAGGCTTTGGCTCTACCCAAGAAGCTTTGCTTTTGTTTTGCTTAAGTGAAGTCTCACATTGAGACAGAGGAGCCTTCAAGCCACTTATTATAAATCTCTGTTCAGTTCACTTTTCTTCCTAGAGCAGGGTGGTGCAGTATGTGTCATGGCCCCAGAGCTCTAGCACAGAAAGACACTGAGTTATTTACAAGGTACAATTTTGCCTTAGTACAGTTTGAGGTTGGTAGGTGGACCAACCAGGCTTTGTAAAGTGGAAACCCCATGTTCACTACCTAGTTCAGAAACTTGCTATTAAAGCTATGTTGTGTCTTGTCTTTTTGGAATTTCTTTTTCATAATTAAGACTACCTCTCTTGCTGACTTTGCATGCAACAGATTGAACTAGATTGCATCTTGTCACTGAATTTTCTTAATAAGTTGGGAAATCCCATGTATCTGGTGTACAACCAGTGCTGGCTAGGCTGTTCCTGCTCTGTGCTGGTCTAAGTTGGCATCTAGCGGAAGCAGGAATGCATCAGACCCTTCTGTTCTCTGCAGACTTGGACACTGCATAGTTATTTAGTGTTTTCTCCACCCTAAATACTTGAAAGGGTGGGTCCACAGAACAGTGTCAACGGTGAAAGACTGGCTCAAAGGGAGAAATTTTTCTTTGGTGTTTGGTACTACTGATGGCAGTTGAGCTGGCTCCTAAGCATAAGGAGAAACAAAACCTCCCCCTCCCCTGAATAGCAGCAATAGCTGCAAAGACAGCATAACAAGCTAAGTACCAGGTGAAAGTGAGCCAGAAGACATTAAGGACTATTGTCTAGGTGCACCCAGGCATGCATCACATATGCTACAGTTCAGCAGGAAACTCAGGCCACTGGACTGGGACGGAAGTACCCCTGTAACAGGAGAAGCACTAGAGAAATGTGTCAAAACCAAAACATGAGTAAGACAGACAGTTTTTTTGTTTGTTTGTTTTAAATGACAATAATGTAAGGCTAACACTCTTGATAACCTCATATTCAGTGAAGAGTTTGGATTTCATCTTCAGGATGACATCAGATGTTGTGCTGAGATACCATACTATAGTCAACTTTACCAATAGCTGGTGGCACAGAGCAAACCTGCTATGCCTCATGCTCCTGTTGGAACTGTAGTTGTTTAAAGGAATGGAATTAGCACATTGAGTTGACTCAATAAGAACCAGATGTATCAAAACACAATTTATTCTTAAAATAGCTAGTAGACACTTAACAGCATGGGTTACATTAAAAAAAAAAAAAAAAGTGCAATCAGTGGAAGAGACTTACTTCATCTTAGCATTTATCTTCTCATTACACTGCAAGTAGCTTCAGACTGGGGCTATTTCACAAGTCACGTGTATTTTGATGTTAACAACACTTCTTTACAGTTAAAAGGTGTGCCAGTATTTACAACTGCTGAGTATATGCTGGACAATTTCCCACACAAATCTTGCATGAAATACAGACCATGTTTACAGTTTGACGGCTCAGGAAGCTAAATTACAAGCATGTGATATAAAATATACGCTTGTTTAAAAAGAAAAAAACTTCTAAAATGAGGTACAATAAAACTGAGCAGTTTTCTATTTATGTGCAAGCCTATATTCATTCTAGAAAAACTAGCAGCAATTCTGCTCTTTAAAAGAAATTAGCTTTCACCAACTGCAGCTAATTCACTGTCTTCAATATGAAGGACCTTTCCTATATTACACACTTTTTAAAAGGTATCTCTGACTCTGCAATAGGGAGCAGGATACTCAACCATTAGGTGCTGTAAGACTAGATCAGGAAATGAGTGAAATCACCTAATGCTGCCACAGGCTAAGACATTTACAAATCATTCAGTCTAAGTCTATACACTAACCTTGGCTTCAGCCTTTACTTTTGGCATGTATAGTGACTGTTTTTTTAAAGGCACATTTTTCTTTTAACATTAGAAGGTAACCATCAGCCTGTCAAGCGAGTAGAATGATGAAGGTAGAAATCAAGGTTCGATTTGATCTTAAATGCAAGATATCCATTATTCCCAAGGCCAGTGAGGT